TAAAAGTAAACCCTAAAAGTAATACATCATCTGTCAATGTTTTGGTATGTAATTCTAAGGAATTATGGTTCTAAAAGATTTTAAAACTTATGCTCCCTAGTATTATCACACCTAAAAATTTTAACAACATGAGGTAATTTTTATTTTATGTAGGAGGATATGAGAAGAGAACAGAAGATATATTATCAATACTTGGCACAGCGGCGTGAGGAAGAAAAAGCTCAGGAGAAAGAATTGGATAGAATGTTAGAGAAAGAGAAGGAAAAGAAGTTTGCTGAGAAGGACAAGGAGCTGAGACTTGAAAAGGAGGCAAGAAAACAACTTCTGAATGAGGTCATGTGTACAAGAAAACTTCAAGTTCAAGAAAAGTGTAAGGAAAGGAATTACAATTATGTTATACTTGGGCCTAATTCAATTTAAGTAGCAACCTCAGTATTTATTAAACAGATAGTATGTGTGAAATACCATGAGGTATGTAAAAGGGATTAAGGCAAGATCCCTGCTTTGTGGACCTTACCTAATTGAGTACTTAAGTATCTTTCTGCAGGTGTCTCCATACGCCCACACCTGCATACCTTTTGCTTGGGTAGTTTTCTCTCCCTATGATGCTTTTGATCTTGAGAAATCCTGGACATACTTCCCAGCTCAAATGTCGCATTCCTTGAGAGACCCACTCTGTTCCCCTATTCAGGATAAACCTTCTTTCCCCTATTCATAAAAGAATTTTCTTTCTGGTGGTCTCATCATTTCTTGCTCACATCTCTGTCTTAGGACACCACTGAATTCCCTCAAACAGTGCTTGGTCACGAAAGGAAATAATCACTGAGAAGATTTCCACCATTCTGTGTCCAGATGGACACATTTACTAGTAGGATACCACTGGACTTCACACTAGTTGTCTTTGTGAGAGAAAGCTCATCTAGGTTCCATTGATTAATTCTCCACTCTGTTATAAGAGAATTATAATGTCAGTTGAAAATAAGCTAGTGTTAGATTGAGTTTTAAGAAATGAGAAGAAAGCGTCTACACTGAAAAGATTTCTGTATTCCACCATGATAAATGTTTTGGCATACATTGAGAAAACATGGAAAATTTAAGTATTTGGAACCACTTATAAACAAGGAAGTAAAAATCAACCATAATTCCACCACCCAGCAATAGCTATTGTTCACAACTTCCTGCATTTCCTTCCAGTATTTTTACTATGTATGTAATTTCCTCTCACAAATTACTATCTTGTGGTATATATTGTTTTACAGCCTGCATTTCTCACTTAGCATAAACATTTTTTCAGGTCATTTTTCTTCAATTTTAAAATTTGTAATGCTGGCTAGAAAGCCATTATAAAACTGGATCATAATTTATTTTACCTAAATACAACCAATGCACCTTCAACTTGGTTTGGAATTTTTCTTGCTGTTGTAGCATTGTGGGTTACTGTCTCTGTACATAGTTTTTTAGGCTGACTGTCTCTGTACACAGTTTTTTGGCTCATATGTAATTAGATAAATTCCTGTAAATGGGTTTGGAGGCCGAAGGTAAATGCATCTCAGATGTATATCGCCTCCTTTGTGAACTCTGTTTTGTCAATCTTTTTCTATTGGGTTGGTTAGGTTTTCCTTATTTAGTTTATAAAAGCCTTATATACTGCTTTTCCCATAGTTTTTTTGTAACATAGAAACTCTCCTGTTAACATAAATGGCAACAGAACTGTTTGTCCTCAAGAAGAGAAAGGCGAGAAGTATTCTTACATTGGTAATCTGCTATGAAAAAAACTGTTCATAGATTTCAATAGCAAATAGTTATGAGAAAATCTCTGTAGATTATAGCACATAGGAACCTAAGCCCTATTCTTTCCTTAATGGAGATGACTGTGTGTCTGCTCAGTCATTCAGTCGTGTCTGACTCTTTGAGACCCCATGGACTGTGTCCTGCTAGGCTTCTCTGTCCATGGAATTTTCCAGGCAAGAATACTGGCGTGGGTTGCCATTTTCTACTCCTGGGGATCTTCCCAGAGATTGAACCCATGTCTCTTGTGTCTCCTGCATTGGCAGACAGGTTCTTTACCACCATGGGAAGCCCCAGTGGGGATGACTGCTTCTACCTTATTGAACTAAGATCCAATCCAGTGATTCTAAGCTCTGCCTTTCTAAAGACAATATGGCATTGATTCCCAGATGATGTTGTCAAGTCTTTTCTGAAAAGAGTCATTTAGCAAAAATTACTTCTGTCTTTCTTAGTGCAACGGAAAGCAAAAGAACAGGAAGAACGTACTATGGAACAGGAACGCATAAATGAAGGTCTTAAAGAGCTTAACTGTGAAGAGAGGGAGAATTTTACAAGGTATGGCTTTGTTTTCTTCATAATTACTACCTAAAAAGGGGAGATTTTTAGCATAAAGGATGCTGTGCCATAATTCGTGTATTATTAATATTATTTTACCTCAGTATTTTTGGTTTGGCCAAAAAGTTCCTTCAGTTTTAAAGTAAAAAAAAAAAGACACATTTTTCATTTTCACTAAGAACTTTATTGAACTACATATCCACTGTTTCGTTCCACTACCTTCTGCCACTTTTCAGACAACTTCATAATTCCATCTTCCCAAAACTTTTTATCTTTTTGAGCAAAGAACTGTTCCAGGTGACTTTTACAGTCTTCCAGGGAATTGAAATCTTTGACATTGAGAGAATTTTGCAGACTGAAATAAATGGAAATCTGAAGGTACGATGTCTGGTGAATGTGGTGGATGAGTCAGAACTTCCTAGCCAAAGTGTAGCCATTGCTGCCTTGTCATCAAAGAAACATGCAGTCTTGTACTATCACGATGGAAGATTGTCTGTTTCCTGTTGAACAGAAAGCACGTGATTCCAGGTACTTTTTGTCAAGTGCTGCTTTCAGTCAGTCTAACTGGGAGCAGTACTTGTGGGAATTAATCATTTGGCTTTCCAGGAGGAACTCAGAGGAACTCAGAACTCCCTTCCAATCCCACTACATACACAACATCATCTTTCTTTGGATGAAGACCGGCCTTTGGTGTGGTTGGTGGTGGTTTATTTTTGCTTGCCCCATGATCTGTTCCATTCCATAATATTGTATGGAACACTTTTCATCACCTGTCACAATTTGTTTTAAAAACAGAGTGTTTTTGTACATTAAAGAATCACATACAGAAATACAGTCAAAAGAGGTTTTTTTGTTTCTGTTTTTGCTTAACTTATGTGCAACCCAAGCATCAAATAATTATTGAACCAAGCTGGTACAAATGATTTTCAGCACTTGGTTTGGATATTTGGAGTATGTCGGCTATCTCATGGTATAATGTTCATTGGTATACTGTTGGTATGACATTGATTGTTCTCAGTGTCTCGGTTTGATTGCTGTCAACTTCAACTGGTCTGCCTGACTGTGGAGCATCACCTAGAGAGAAATCTCCAGCACAACACTTAACAAACTACTTTTGATGCGTTCGATCAATCACAGTACCTTCTCCATACACTGCACAAATCTTTTTTTGCATTTCAGTTGTGCTTTTACCTTTCTTGAAGTAATGAAACATAATATGCCAAAAATATTGCTTTTTTCCCCCCATCTTCAATATTAAAATGGCTACACAAAAATTCACCAATTTTGATAATTTTTTTTTAATGCACACTGATATGACAACCATCACAATGCAATCTAACAAAATTGTTTTCAATGAAGTTAGAGACAACTAAGTGCTACTAGAGCCATCTTAAGGAAAAAAACCAAATGAATCTTTTGGCCAACCCAGCCTTTTGACCATTTGTCCCAAAAGCTCAATTCAGTTTTTAAAATTTCATATAAAAAATAAAGACCCAGTTCAAAAGAACAAAAATAAGCACCAACCGTTTCAGTAAAATTCAACTCTATTGCCATTATATAGATTCTGATTACAGACATTGTGTTAAACTGGACAAACATCTTAGACAAAATATGTTAGAAACAATTTTTATAAAATTGGCACCAACCCTAAATCGTAATGAAATAAGATTTTTCCCCCCATGAAATAAATCCTGACATATAATGTGACCTAATTAGATGAACAGAAGTGGCTTATGGGGGTATGATTCCATGTAAACGTCCTGGGAAGACTTTTGCAGCCTCGCTGGGCTGGGAAACTAAACTGCTCTGGGTGCTCTGAGACACAGCACTTCCCTGGGGTGTTCCTCTGGTCACCATGATCAGGCTCAGGTGGGGATTGGTCAATACCTCCTTGGCAGGCTTTCCCGGATCCTATCAGTCCCTTCCCACTGATGGCCATGACACCCAATTCAGGCGGCCAGTGTAGTGGAGAAAGAGGACCAGGCTCCTCTAATTACTGGTCAGCCTCCCCGTCCCTGGGGCCTGTTCCCTGGCTCACCCACATTTGATGCATAGAAATAAACTCTCTTCTTTCTAGAAAGGGTGTGGTTCATATACGGGAGCCTATTGTCAGTGTGGGGGCACTAACAACAACACCTGGCTTCCTGCTCCTTGTTCTGCTCTGGAGGTCATTCCCTCCCACTTTTGAAAAGCCTTTTGTTGGAGATGTGAGGGGGATTTAATAGCAGTTCTCTTCCCTACCCAACTTTTGAATCAACTGAAAAAAGAGTGAGCAGAAGGTATTATAATTACTACAATTACCTATTGGTGTATAACAAAACATCCCCAAATTTGTGGTTTAAAGCGAGTTTTGATGATGTCTCATGTTTCTGTTATTGATAAGGCTCAGCTTGGTGGTTCTTGCTTGGCATCTCTCATGTGGTTCAAGCCAGTTCTGGTTGGGGCTACATTCATCTGAAGGCTCAGCTAAAATGGACACTTAAGATACCTATCCTTAGAGCTGGTAGTATGTGCTGACTGTGCTTGGAGATCTCACTTGGTATTAGCCAGAACACCTACACGTGCCGTTTCCATGCATCTTGGGCTTCTCACAGAGTGGTGTCTCGTTCTGAGAGGAAGAGTGCCAATAGCAAGTATTCCAAGAGACAGAACGAGGAAGCTGCCAGGCCAGATAAGGACTACGCTTAGGGCTGGTTTAACACCACTTCTGTCCTACAGGGCCCATCAGCCTTCAGTGGAATGGAGAAATTCTCCACTTCTTGGCAGGGTTTAGAGGTTCACATTGCAGAAGAGTGTATGGTAGGCGGGACAGCACTGTGGCCATCTTCGGAAAAGAGAATCTGCCGCAGAGGCATAAGTGTGCGATAATCTTTATTTCTAACAAAATTTGGTATTAATAATATGGTTTATAGATTATAAAATGATAAAACTGCTGTGTAAAGCAGTATGAAATTTCCTCAAAAAATTAAAACTAGAACTACCATATGATCTAGCAATCTCACTTCCAGGTATCTATCCAAAATAAATGAAAGCAGGACCTTAAAGAGTTGTTTGCATACTCATGTTCACAACACCACTATTCATAATAGCCAAGAGGTGGAAATAACCCAGATGTCCTTAAACAGAAAAACGGGTAAACAAAGTGTGGTAGATACATGCAGTGGAATAGGATTCAGCCTTAAAAAGGGAGGAAATCCTCTCAGATGCTACAGCATGGATGAGCCTTGAGGACAGGCTAAGTGAAATCAGCTGGTCACAAAAAGACAAATGCTGTGTGATTTCACTTACTTTCAGTACCTAGAGTAGTCAAATTCATAAAGATAGCAAGTAGAATGGTGGTTACCGAGGGCCAGGGGGAACAGTCAAAGAAAGAGTTGTTTAATAGGTATAAAGTTTCAGATCTACAAGATGAAAAAGTCCTGGAGATCTGTTTCACAATAGTGTGAATATACTTAACACTACTGAGATGTTCACTTACAAATGGTTAAGGTGGTAAATCACGTGTGTTTTACCACAAGGGAAAAAAATCACTATAACATTTTAAATGAAGCCTCCATATAGAGGAAGTCATCTGCTTAATACTAAACAGAATGAGGCGGACTTACCTATCCAGTCACCAGTAGTACCAGACCACTGGAAGCCCCCCAGCAAAGAGAATATGCCCCCTTTTGATAGAAAGCAGAAAAGAAACAGGCAGAGCAGCCTGTTCCATTTTACCAATAAGTGTCACTTCTTCTTGGAGGGGAGTAGGGGTGGAGGATGCAGAGAGGCCAAGGGCTCTCTCCACATAGCAGTAAATCTTTTGAACGGGGAAGAGACATTCCCTCACTAAAATCAATCATTTGTTCTAAGACTGTCATAATTATTGTGTAATAAACACATTATTGAATTTTTCATCTATTTCTTCCCCACTCACCCTGATTTTAGTGGTAACTTTATTTGACTTCAAAAATCACATTTTAATTGTAATGCCCTACATAAATCCAAATGCTTACTTTGATAATTATATGCTTTGATATTTCTATCATGTTAGACGCTGCAATTTAGCCCAGGAGTACAGGAAGCAACTTCAGATGCAGATATGCTCCCAGCAGCAGGCTCGGGAAGCAGAAAGGGAAGAGGAGCGCCGAGAGTTTGAAGCGGGGATAGCAGCAGAAAAGAACTTCCAGGACAAGATCCAGGAGATCCTGTCCACCCACCCAATGGTGCCCCGAAACATCCATCCCATGCGAAGGGCATGTCCTACTAAGCTTCCGCCATAGTTGTATAAGCACCAACCTATTTTTTCTCAGTCTTTTGCTATTTTAAAATACAGTATGTCTCTTTTAACTCATGGATAAATTGTTCTTTTATTCTCTGAGTTTCCATAATTATATGCCAGGAAATTTTCTTCTTTCAAATTAAACTACTCCTTTCGTAGACTGACAAATCTGAATGATCCTGTTCCTGTGATGATGAATGATCCACACAGTTAACAGTCCTGACTTACCTCCATGCCTCCCTTTCTTGTTCATTTATTAATAGCTTCACTTTCTTTCATCCATCTGCCCATGTGCCCATTTCCTCTTGCTTCCATTCTCTTCTCTCCCTCTGTGTTCATGCCCTTGTGTAGTCCCCTTCCACCCTGAATCTTGGGCACTATATAAAAAATATGTGCATTTACTGGTTAAAACAAAAAGAAGTAAACATGGTCATATTCCTAACACTCAGCATTGTCATTATTTTCACTTCTCTGAGTTCCCTCCCAGGCTTTGCTATATGGATACTCATTTTTGTTTTGTAAACACACTGCCATGTTGCTTTACCTACCATATTTACAAATGAATGCATAATAGTCTACTGGGTTAGTGTATTATAACTTATTAAACAATAGACTTTGAGTTTGTTTCAAATTTGTCCCTATAGCAAATTATTCTGTAACAACATTCATTTGAATTATTTCCTTAGAATCAATCAACTCCCGGGTGTGGGGTTTCTGGGTCAAAGGGGATTAACATTTATATACTTTTACTTCCAAGTACCATATTTGCAAAAGCAGTTTTTAGAGTTGTAGGTTCTTTTAGGGAAATGTTTCCCTGACGGTTTAAAAATGTCTTTAAGCAAATTGTTTGCTAGAATTTCTGAGAGGTTTTTTTCTTTAACCTTTCTACCCATTCATTCACTCTTACCTCAGCTCTGGGAGTCTACCTTCTCCTCTGGATCCTTTCAAGCCCCCTTGAAAGTTAATCTCTAATCCAAAAGTAGGAGTCTTGGCCAGGAAAAAAAAAAAAAAGGAAAAAAAGAGGACTGTCCTATAAGTTTTGTTGAAAATCAGCTGACCATTATTATAAGGGTGTATTTTCAGACACTCTACTCTGTTCCATTAATTTATTTGTCTATCCTCATAGCAACACAACATGATGATAATTATTGTAGCCTTAAATAAGGCTTGAAATTGGTAGTGTAGCGTCCAATATTGTTTTTTTCCCCCTAGTTTTTATCTATTGTAGATTCTTCAAATATCCATATAATTGTTAGGATCATTTTGTCAGTTTCTACAAAGATCTACTGAGATTTCGATAGAGATGGTATTTACTCTATAGATCAGTTTGGAGAGAACTCCCATCTGAACAATAATGAGCTTTCCAACCCATGAAGAAGGTCAATCTCATCGTTTGCTTGGGTCATTTTTAATTTTTTAAGCAATGTTTTCTAGTTTTCAGTGTGCAGGCCTCGTGCTTCTTTTGTTAAACTTGTTCCTAAGTATTTCTCCTTAATGCTGTTGTGAACAGAATTGTTTTCTTAATTTCATTTTTTGGATTATTCATTATTAACGTGTAGCAATCTAACTGATTTTTGTATGTTGAGTTAGTATCCTGTGACTTTTCTAAATTTACTCATTAATTCTAATAGTTTGTTTTTTATGTTTTTGTTTGTTTTAGATGATATAGGATTTTCTACATTCAGGATCATGGCATTTGAAAATAAAGGCTGTTTATTTTTTTCGAGTCTGAATACCTATTGTTTCTTTTTCTTACCTTACTGCACCAGTTAGTGCAGCATCAAGTATGATGCTGAATAGAAGTGGAGAGACTAGACATTCTTGACTTGTTCCCAGTTTTAATGGAAAACACTCCACTCATTTCTTAACCATTAAGTACTATGTTATCTGTAGGTTTTTCTTAGATGCTTTTTACCAGGATGAAGTTGTTCCCTTCTCTTCCTATTTTATTGAGAGTTTATATATAAAGAGGTATTGGATTTTAGCAAATGCCTTTTTCTGTGCCTGTTAAGTTGAACATGTGATTTTTGTTCTTTGTTCTATTAATATGGTATATTATATTAATTTATTTTCAGATATTATCTAACCTTGCATATCTGGGATAAATGCCATTTGTCATTTTTTTTTTTTAATAAGTTGCTGCATTTCCTTTGCTTTTTTTTTTTTTTTCTTGCCACTATGGTTTGTTGTGTGTCTTTGATCTAGGTCTATTGTGATGTCTTGTCTAGGTCTGGTATCAAGATATTATTGGCCATGTGAAATGAGTTGGAGAGTATTCCCTCTTATTTTCTGAATGAGTTTGTGAACAATTGCCACTATTTCTTCCTCAAATGTTGGATGGAATTCACCAGGGATGCCACCTAGGCTTTCTCTGCAGGATTATTTTTTATTGCTAATTAATAGTTTTACTCACTTAGGTCTAATCAAATGTTCTTTTCTTCTTGAGTCAATTATGGTAATTTGTATTTTTCTACAAATTTGTCCTCTTCATCTAAGTTGTCTAATTTAAGCACATATAAAAAGTGAAACTGAAAGTCTCTCTGTCTTGTCTGACTCTTTGCAACCCCATGGACTATACAGTCCATGAAATTCTCCAGGCAAGGATACTGGAGTGAGTTGCCTTTTCCTTCTCCAGGGGATCTCCCAACCCAGGGATCAAACCCAGGTCTCCCACATTGCAGGCGGATTCTTTGCCATCTGAGCCACCAGGGAAGCCCTTCAATACATATACTTGTTAAACACATGTAAACCCATATAGTAGTTTATAAAATTGCCTTATAATTATTTTACCTTCAAAGGAGTCTATAGGAATGTACCATCTTTCATTTTTCTTGGGTTTTAGGGTATTTTGCCATTCTGTGATAAGAAAATAACTGGAAAACATGACCTCTCCATCCAATATCTTCTCCTGCCCCCAATCCAGACTGACTCTCTACCAAAGACCATGTTACTTGGATGATTAAAGCAATTTTTAAAAAGCAAAATTTTAAAAACTAAAAGCCACTTATTGCTAAATTATGCTGTTTACCTTTTTCTTATTTTTGAAAAAGAAACTAACCTTTCATCATATGGATGCAAACTTTTTTTTTTCTTTTTCTAGTTTTTCTGCCCTAGGGATGGCAGTAAAGAAAGATGTAAAGGATCTGAATTCCTGACACTTTACTATCTCGTAGGGCTGATTTCATCTCTTTGGTCTCCTTTAAACAATTTTTTTCAGAGTTACCGTGTAGTTTTTTCCCAGATCAGTACAAGTGTCACTTGATTATCCTGGTTGTATTTTCATTCAGATTTCATTGGGTTTATACATTAGTTCAGGGATGTTGTCAACTTTACAATATTTATTTTTCCTATCCATAGATCATAGCATAGCACTATTCAGACTGTTCGTTGCCCACCAATTCTCCATTTCCTCTTCTCTCTCAAATTAACAGGACCTCAGTTTTTGTGAATGTGTAAGTTTGGCTGGGCATGCTGCCGTGCAAATAAATACTATTTTTTTTACACTCCAGTGCAGATAGTATTTGTCCAGGTGCCTAATTGTGGCTAAAGAAATGTAAGTAAAAGTGTTACATGGGTCTTCAAGAAGAAGGAAGGGGAGGGAAATTTTGGAATGTCTCTAAGGAGCACTGCGAAGTCACTTCCCAAAAGAGTGAGAAAATAGGAAACATCATAAAAAACCACAATTTCAAGATGCTGGGAACTGACCAAAGACATGTAAAAAACTGAGAAGCATTAACTCAAGAAAATCTACTAAACCTTGGTAAGAATGGTGGGAAAACATAGCATTTTGTCCTGGAGCTGCTTTGAGATCCCCCTCAGCTGCATGGAGCAGTGGTTCTATCAGGGCAGGGCAGGTTGTAAGGACCGACCTGCAGCCTTGCTGCCAGAAGGGACTGACTTGATTTGGAAGCAAAATTTGGAAAAATCCATGCTTGGGGCATTGTCAAAACAATGGCAGTCTTGGTGGCAATAAAT